GATTTTTTACAAACCAGTGGTAGACTGAATTTTAAATTTATTTATTATTATTATAATTATTTTGAGACAGGATCTTGCTCAGTCAGTAAGTTGCCCTGGCTGGACTGGAACTTGCCATCTTCTTGCCTCAGCCTCCCAGAGTTCAGGGATCTCAAGCGAGTGACACCATGCCCCGCTGTGGGAGCTGAGGGGAGTTCCTTAAACATGGAATTTGGATCCCATTGATATAGGGGAAATAAATGTGGCTCCCAACCTGCTAGATACCAGATATACTGAGTTCATCAACACCAAAGCCGAAGAATGAATTTTAAGGAACAACAGAAGTTAAGAGTAGGAAATTTAGGACCAGGGATTTAGCTCAGCGGTTCGGTGGCCTGCCTTGTAAGCGCAAAGACCCGAGTTCAATCCTTAGTACCAAAAAAAAAAAGGAAAATTTATTGGGGAATAAGGGGAATAGGAATAGGGAGTAAGAATGGGGAAGGGGGTTACCTCCTGAGGAACTGGGGAGGGGTCCTGAATGGGTTGCTGGTAGATTCCATTTTTGAGACAAACTGAACATGGGACAGGTATTATGGAATTTTTTTGTTTGTATTATATGGTACTATTGTGTTTTAAAATAAAAGAAAAAGCTCTGTCTGTTTAGAGCTATATATTGGAATACATATGGGTTAAAAAAAAATCTGAAATAGGGCCGGGGTTTAGCTCTGGCACCGTGCCTGCCTCGCAAGCACAAGATCCTGAGTTTGATCCTCAGTACAAAAAAAAGAAAAAAAAAATCTGAAATAAGGAAAATCCCAGCAAAATGAAAAAAGTGGTAGTGAGGATAAATAAAACAGGAACAAGAAATTGTTGGAGCTGGGTACTAGAAACAATGGGATTCACTATGTTTCTATTTTTTTAACAGCAAAACATTGGTACATTTTAGGCACATATAATGGTAACACTCATCATAGGGATCTGCACCTGTACATGATACGTCCCACCTCTTTTTTCCCCTTCCCTTTTCCTCTTCCTATGTACAAAAGCTTTATTTCCATTTTTCCTTCTATTTGCACTTTTTTCTTGCCTTCCTTCCTTCCTCCCTCCTCCCTTGTCCCCTTCCCATTTGAAGTTTCTTTCCTATTGTTTCTTCTGTTTAAAAATTTCCACATTAAAGTTTGTTTTTAAATATCAAAAGTCAATAAAACAAAATGTTAGTTTTTCTAAATAGAAAAGGATTTACAGTAAATATTAGAATAATAGAATTTAGCAAGGTTTTTGGGTGCATGTGGGGATCATGAGTACTGGTTGTAAGTATTGTTAACTCTAGTAACTCCATATGTGTTAAGTTTCTCCAGTTTAGCAGGTAGAGTGTTTCCTTTGTGGAATTCCTGAAAGTTACAATTTCTTGTCTCTGACCTTTAGATGTGTGGTTGTCCGGGTTACTACTACTCACGGTGGGTTGTTTTGGTGAACCTGTTTGCTCTTTTCCTGTGTGACCTTTCAGTTACTATGGTAAAACCATCCCATAATAGTTTGTGGTTTTTTGCTTTAAAAGGCCGGTGCTTGCCGGCAATAAACGCCGCCTTGATCAGACTCTTGTCTTGGCGTCCTTCCTTTCTCTCTGCCCCATCTCCACCCCGCTGCTCTTTCAGGTTTGAGACACTGCTGGACAGTGCTCTGCGTCGCCGGCTCGCGACA